TTAGAGAGTTTATAGAGCACCCCTCCAATATTTGTACTCTTCCAGGACCAAATACCGATACGGCCTGTAAAACGGAAGATAAATACCAAAAAAAAATAAAACCATATTCTTTATTTACTAACGTTAAAGTATATATATATATATATATATATATATATATATATATATATATATATATATATATATATAATAGCATGATTGTTTCGACAAGAATCTATGGTAGTTTTCCATCGTATAATCTTCGTCGAACACGTTGCTACTAGGAACTGCTTTAAAACTTCTGTCCAGATACTATTCAGTTTAGAATGTCTAGAATGTCCACTTTTACGGATTAACCTATACTTATTTACCTGGCCACCCCACGTAATCTGGCAGTCGCCACGACCAAAACTCCAGCCTGGTATAACGTCACCCCGGTAGAGCGCGCGAGCAATTCGCGCAGTTCCTTCTCGAGCTGCAAAGGTCTCGTCAGGAGATGATTCCTTAGACTCTTTAGCCCAATCTAAATTTAGCATGCTTAGGTTGGCAGTCGGAAATATCCAGCGGCAGCCTTGAGGCGCATTTGGCACATCGGCGAACTGTACTGCGGGGAATAGCCTTCCTCGAGCTGGGAACGTGTTTGATTTTCTTGGTCGGTGGATCCTTGAACGATCATCCGCTCGCCGGAGCAAGGCCCGGCCAGCGCGCTGCTGCACCGCCAGCTTTAATAGGGTTCCACTTACCGAGGCCGAAATGCTACCTTGAATTACGGTTGAATACAATTTAGAATAGGAGCAAATTCGGGCGGATCTCCCTCTGACCTAAGCTCCCGCGATGTTGATGCTGAATGGCTTGTATTTGCTAGGACTTGAAACATAAAGCAGACATCGTTGTAGAGGTAAACTCACGACTGCACCGATTAGCAGAAAAATAAGAAATTATCGAACTCGCAGAATATTCGTTGGACTAGCGCAAGGTAAAGTACTTGTGCAATGGTGGCTGGTGATGAGGTCTTGGCGATACATTTTAATAAACGTTTCGTATAGTGGCTTGCAAGTACAATTCTACCTACAAAGGACTATCTAAACAAATGCGTGGTGCAGTTGTTATCAGCACTGCTCATAGGTGGATTCCTTTAATGAATCCTCGCTAAACTAGTTCTAACATGCAAGAGAAAGTAGCTAAAAGAGGACTAAACACAGACCCCTCGCTTTTTAAGGCTATATGTAAAATGGTTGGAAACTACAAACGAAAGCCTGCTTATGTTATCTTTCATATGATTTATGTGTAAGAAAGGTTCTAAATCATAATTGTTATCTACAGAAGCAATTGGTGATTCGAAATAAATAGTAAAATCAAAATAATTCGGATGACTTAATTGTATTCGAAAGACACGGCTTCCCACTGTAGTAACAGACATTTGTGTCGGGTTTGTCTCGTTGACGATCATCGTAGATGCTATGAACCGTTACAAGAGAATCTGACGGACATTGAAATTAATAACTTTTTAACTAGTTCGGCTTTAGAGATACTCTTTTATTTTTTGCGCAATTATTCTAGTTTTCGGGCAGTTTCTGGACAGCTATAAAATTTCTGCTCCAAAATGTAATTCCTTTATCTGTAGCTTCGCGAAGTGAATCGATGGTGGGATATGTTTAAAACACGGAAAGCCCCATAATTACACGAACTTAAATCGGGAGGATATACGGGTTGAAGCTAAATTTGGGTACCCCTTTGTTTAATTCAGGAAGTAACTGAGGTATGGTCATGAGGTTTGGTGTTGTCATCAGATAACTAGGCTGCGCGTCTCCGATTGCGTGCTAACAATCCATTGATCTCTAGCGGAACTGGAGACAGCGGGGTGCATTTATTGTTCAATTTTTAGCGAGTATCTCATAGTGGCCCTGGTGTCCATTGCGAATATCGAAACCTACTTGACACTGTTATCAAAGTCGACTTCTCTCCAGGGGAACGCCATTTTCTCGCCTGGTCATTCTTCGGCTAGCGGCAGAGATTAAGGCATAGCAATCAAGCTGGTGAGCTTTCTATTGATTTTTTAAATTTTTAGGTAATATTTATATATCATGAATTTATGGTTTTAATCCATTATTTATCTTTCATATACCTTATAAATCTCATAGTAATATGTGATATAGATTTATCATTCATTAAGGATAGAGAAAGTAAAACAAAAGGAAAAATGTATATCGTATAGTGTGTAGCTGAAGGATAAAGCTAGATTTTATAGACATTTAAATTTTTGTTACCCTTATATACGTGTATTACAAATTTAGTATTTTATATATGTATATATACTTATAAATAAATTCTAAATAAATGTAGTTAAATATATATACACACAAAAAAATCCTGCAAATTGCACGTGAAATACACCAAACGCATTTCCAACCGCTGTGAAATTAATCCACAACGGACCCATGTTTTACTCAGTTTCTCAATTTTTAGTATTTGAATTTCAGTTCTGTAACACGTTACATGTAAAATATCCGTTTCGGCCGACAGAGTTTTTGGACTTCGAGCTCTGCTTTCGTTAAAAAACCTCGTAGCCATGCGCTCTTTTCCTTTGGCTCCAGGTATCTGGTTATGTTCTAGCTAGTTTTCAATACTCCAGTTTCTTGAAGCGTTTGCACCATTTATGTAGTGTGGCTTCGCTTAGGATCTCCTTGCCTAATGTTACTACTAACCTCCAATGAATTTCCGCAACGCTGTGGCCGTTCAGGAACAAAAACTTGATTACTGAGCGTTGATGATGACTGAAAGATGTTCTTTCTTCTGAACTTGCTTCCTTTAACCTCAGTCGATTGTCACCCACAAGTTTCTAGAAGACTAGATTTCGTCTGTCACGTAGTTTAAAAATTATTTAATAAAAAAATCAGCCACATTTGTTGTAAAAACCTAATATTTTACCTTGAGGCACACAAAATATCTCTATTTATTCAAATTGCATTCCACTTTAACGATGGCTACATCTAACAAATGAGCTATGTATGTACGCAGTACTCACCGATTTGATGTAGCTCTTTAAAGAAAAAAATAGATTATCAAAGTCGTAAGAAAATTCTAGCTGGTTCAATCACTGTGCACGCTAGGAGATTTCCAATTCCTTCGCGCAGACATAACCCGTTTAAAAGTGGGAATGTATCAAAGACAACATCTTCACGGTTTGTTTGCATAAAGTTAATTCAACTTCTAAAGTTTACTTTCAATATTCTGACTGTTCGGGCTGTCCGAGGATGTCTCCATTGATATCTGTTCCGGCGCATATTTAAGTAATGCAACCCCTTGTCCCATGAGCGATCCGCTCTCAGGTGTTTTTAGCTTATCGCTTGTATGTATTCTTTTTGCCGAATTAACAAGAAATCGAATTTGCTTCTCTTTAATAGGGTGACTGGGCAATGCGTCATCAAAGTTTTTCATATATCGTTAAATATTTGATTTTTTAATAGATTTTGGATATTCTGATAGGAAATTTACGAAGCAACTATGTCTTATTATGAGTGATAAAAGAAAACAAAGTTTTTTTTTTTTACCGTATTTCATTGACAGGATACATTGATTGCTATAAATAGGAGCCTATAGTGATGCTGTCACTGTTATTGCTAGTGACATTAAATATTAGCAACAGTTGTAATAACAACACCACCTGTGACCACACGAACTACCCTTATGCCGGCGCAAACAACAGAGGGAGTTTTACTCAAGCTCAAGGCTAAAAGTTTTCTATAGTCGTATAGAATGAAGCACCAGTATAAGAGTAGTTCGGTTAAAAGCTAACCAAGAGGGGCCACCGCTTCTTTGTTTCATTTTCCTCCTCCTCTCTTAGTTAGATGACCTTGAGCCCATTGAGCCTACAGCGACGTCCTGCAAAGATATGGCTATTGGTCACTGTTACTTCGTGGAACTGAAACTTCTCGCAGGTCTGGCCCAGGCTCTTAGGCCACTCTCCCGCGTCGCGTGCTCTGCGGCCGAGAAAAGCTTGGGGAACAACTGGTGTCGTTAGTGAGTTAACCCGTGTCAATTTTGAGTGCTAGTTCTAACACTGTCTATAAGAACAATCAAGAGCTGCAGACAGATAAAACGAACAAAGTGTCCATGTTTTTCCCACTAGGAGTTATCTCACTTCGAAACCATCTCCGACGCCCTGCAGTGGCCTCTTGTGATTTTATACCATTCTGTAAGAAATTGAATTGCAAATAGTGAAAGTACTTTGGGCATTAGGCAGTCAAATGTTTGGGTCACAAGGAATACACCAACAAGTTATCACAAGTGACAACTCTACATTAATCCAGTTCTACACAGCGCTGACTGCAAGGTGACGCCAGTAATAAGCGAAAAACGAGGTCTGTGCAGATGTAGAGATGTAACAGCCCTCTGTTATATGACTGAAAGAGCAAAGCATCGGAAAGATATTCGTAGAGGATACTTCAAAGTCTCCAAGATCGCACCGTTTTGTTTACGATCATAGTACATATCTCAGTTTTCCTTCGGAGATATGCTGAACATAACTAGATATGCGCAAAAAAGTAAGTTCGAATGATGACAAATTTCATTGTAAAGCCGCATAGTGAAGTGTGAGTTCGAATTTCGGTCAATAATTGTTTTGATTTTGAGAGTGTAACAAACGGCACCTCAAATCGTTTGAATTTTAATCTGAAGTACGACTTTTAGCATATATGTGAGTTTAATTAATGAACAAAACCATCTTATCGGTAAGGTCGAACAGTGCAACGGATAAATGAAGATTTCAGCTCACTGCCGATAAAGCGTCGGCTATCCTCCCCACATCGATGATTACTTAATTTAGCAGGCAAGTAATGTTCAAACTAAGCATCAAATCAATAGCTTTCCACATTTTCTTAGACACAAAGCTTTTTTTATTTAATCTTATTTTAGTCTTGAATTCTATTTGGACTTATTATTAGCTAAGTGGTAAACGAAATAAATCGCGATTAAAGCAAAGGTTTTATTTGAGCATTTATTTTTTGCAAATTTACTACAAATTTAACTTCACTGGGTTCGACAGCAAGAAAATATCTTGTGAAGTAGCTATAGCAACGACGAATCACCGCAGCATTAACTGAACGCGCTAAACTCACGTTTATAACCTCTTAGACAAACTGAATAGACTACAGGATCACAATTTTGCTCTCTTTCGGTAACTATGTGATACGCGGGGCGTCATAATTAGTCAGATTGGATATTACGGATTCGCGAACTTGTTGAGAGCAAAAAATTTATGGAAATCTTGGTGATATATTTTCTTTTCATTTCGCTAACCAAACATACGCACCGAGTCGAAACGTTTCTATCGTTTCATCAGTGGCGATCTTTTTACTATGACAACTCTTTTGTGGCCGTGTCGTAGCGCTACGGGGGTAACTAACGCAAAGGCGTGGTATTCTTGCACAGAACAGCTTCGTCCAGCCCGGTCATCGGTACATTAACTCGACAAAATTATAGTTAATACCTCTCCCTTTCGTATACCATAATAAATTACTGCAGCGCAGTTTATGTAGAATTTCTATGCAGTGGGTTAGCGTAGGAAGCGGTACATGTGTATACAATCGTGCCCAAAACGACGCTTCACGCCAAGTCGCTTTTAAATTGTAGATTTTATTGACCCTGTCATCGTGGCAGTTTTAGTTCGTTGTTCATGTGAACACTCCATCGGAGCCGGCTATAAAATCTATTCGTACGTATAGCGCGTCACACATACAAATACTCTAACACATATAAAATGAATGTATTCTCAAATTAGTAGAAAATAAACCTATTACAATCAGAGAATCAATAAGCATTAATAAAGTGTTCAGACAGAAAACAGGCTCCAAGATCAATATCCTACAGTTCAGCTTAAAAATTTTAATCTGAAATCGATGGCACAATTTATAGATCAGGCAAAGCCCACGAAGCATCGATCATCTACTTAACATTTCAATATAACATTTGCCAATAATACAAGTACCTGAATATAAAGTCCCATAGATATCCAAATAATCAAAGACCGAAGAACGTTTAAATAACCTATATGTCGAGAACTAATCTGAACCGAAGGGTCAATATTTCACCACTGGGCTAACGAAGCGAATTAGTTTATACTCAGGTTTATATATGAGCGAAAGGACCTATTCTCGAAATAGTCCATGCACGCATCCCTGCAAACCCTTACCCGCTTTGAGGTTTAACAAAAAAAAAACGAATATGCTGGACTTTTTTACGCTGCTCTTTTTTCGTTTGACAAACAATCTCGAATCACTTTACTTCTAGAATAATTGATTCGGGACACCTGCTCTTCCGACGCAGTCAAGCCGCTGACGTCATTTGGCGCTGTTTTAGATGATTTACGAATAGTGATCCTCCAATATACTCTATAGATGCATACCGTTGTCTTTTTCAGCTATAGATGACTATAACAATGTGCGGACGCAGCCGTATGCTACACTCTACTAGTTACAGAAAATCTGATCTCTGACCGACTTCTTTCTCAAGGGCACTTCTCTTTCTTCGACGTCACACTCTTCGAGAGTACCGTTTAACATAAAATGACTATTATTGAATAAACTGTGACCAGTGCCTTGTCGTTGTTGACCTGATGAGAAGCATTGGCAAATATACACATGGTACAGCAGTCAGTTGGTCACTTTCCATGCGGGTTAGCGCGATTCGCTATGTTTCCTTCGAGACGGACAAAAACTACTATGCGGTAATTACAGGATCATGCTACAGTGAGCCGGCTGCTCTAGAAGCTGAAATAGATCTAGCTAGCCTGCCTAGTCGTAACAGTGATCATGCAGTTGTAGTCGGTGCTATTTTGTAGCGACAGCAGCGGCAGCAGCGTTACTAGTAAAAAGTGGCAGCGTAACGACGACAACCGCCGCCGCCGCCGTCATCACGATTGCTTATTAACTAACCAGGCTGCCAGACAGTCCTCGTGGGTGCTCACCCGTCTGCCTGGCTACCGTGTGCGTTATTTTCCTCTCCGTGTCGATGTTACATGTCCTGCCCTGTTCCTGTCCTACCCTCCACGCACGATCAGCTTGAAGCCGAAAGGACAACGATGGAGCCGTGGAACAGCTGGCCTGTCTAGTGGAATAGTAAAAAGGGCAGAGAAAGGAGTTTGCCGTCAGTAGCAAAGGTCCTTCCAGCAGACTTCTTTTTTTTCTGGAAGCTACTGCTGCTGATATTCGTGGTGAAGGTTTTGACTGATGACCGCATGGTTGAAACGATAACGTATTCGTACTAAGGTTATATAAAGAGGCCAATGGGAAGGCGAAGGTCTCGCGGAGGCTACGCTGTAAGCACAAGGCTGGCGCTTGTAAACTGCCACGATAGCAGGAAGGTCTGCTATTTAAGCTATCTGCTTACTTGTCAGCTGTGCATTGATTGGATGCTATGGATGCCATGGGTATGGCGGTGATTTGAAACGTGATTTCGTGTTGCTGGTGATAATGAGCTAATCTGCTGCAATCAAGTTTCACCCAAGTGGCAATTTTGTCTACGTCGCGCGTTCCTTCATCCCATATCCTTATTCCCTCTTTACTTGGGTGGATTCCTGCTGATTCTGTTATGTCGTGCTTTATACGGGCCGTTATTTGAACGCAGTTGCCGCCACCGAAACTCACATTTCGGATTGATTCAGAGACAGGCTACCACCCACCACTCACCCAAACGCATCTATGTGGTTTCCATACGTATTCGAACACGTCGAAATGCCGATACAACATAGAAATACATTTACACGTAACTACTTTGACTAACCATTCCTTTCTTCATCATCATGGTCTTCATCGTTGTTGCAATGCAGGCGCTTTTGTCTGTGGTTGAGCTAGTTACAGGACAGAAAGTAATTAGTGCTAGTGCCATATGATCGGCGGCATACGCTATGACGTGGTCAAGAGCTCAATTTCGCTACTACCATAATACCCCTGGAGTCAATTGTTAATTAAAAATCGGATTAAAAGCTGGTTTTCCGGTTCAGAGTCAGGCACAAGTGATCTGCTAAGTGGCTTTCCCGTGTCATAAATGCATCTATGTTTGTGATATTGGTATCTAGAAAACAGCCTTCTACGAAGTGACCCCGCCACGTTTCTTCCTGTCATTATCAGCTGTTGGAAACATCGAGGCTATCAGCATGAAGTCTGACATTTTTACGTAACGCAAAACGAATGCAAGTCGTGTTAATGAGATTCTGACCTTACTGGCGGAACAAACTGTGGAAACTACGGACTCAATTGCCGTTATCTACCAATTTGACGACGTTCTATTTTTCAACAGAAATATTGTCCTAGTATTTATGTTATTAATCATGATATTGGTGCTGATAGTTATAGGTGAATATATCGCAAGGTGTGCGGGAATGCTCCGCATTAGCTGTTTAGAGATCCGTATTAAGTTTGCCTCTTAAAGAGCACTCATCGAAAAAAAAACATCTTGCTCAAGGCTACGAGTTAAGCTCTTGCCATAATAGTAAAATTAATTCTGTGATACAAGGAAAAACTTGGTTCATCTGTTTGTGTGGTAAAGTAAATTCAACAAAGGAGTCAGTTAAAAGCGAAGTACATCATCGAGTGCTCACGTAACAGTGGTAAGCACTTTGTAAAGGATACAGCCCGGTTTTTCATATTTAAATTGCTGCAAAGAAATAGAGCCAGATACGATGGGTAAAAAAAAAAGACAGACTGGCGTCTATGCTTGAACTGTGCGAAATATACATCGAACAAAGATGCAATAATACAAGCTCATAGACAGCAGTTGCAGCGAGCTAGTTTCGAAAATGAGGTGTCGTAAAAAACCTAAAGCAGTGCAGAAGCGTTCGGGCCGTCATGTTTAATAATCTTGAAGGGTAGAACGCCAACATGCCATACGGAGTGGTCCTTCGTGAACGAGTTACCGGTGTTCGATACAAAATTGTGCTGTCTCTAAGTAAATGCGTAAAGATATTAGCAGCAATGGGTTATCAAGTATTTGCCAGGCGTGGGAAGTTGTGTCCCTGTCAAATTTGTTCTTGCAAAAAAACACTAAAAATTACAGTTGAAAAAGAAGCAGGTTTATGCTTGTATTATATTCGTGTATTGTTGGTCTGTGGACATAGGTAACGAACCTTTATTATTATTACTATTACGTCAATACACATTCAAAACAAATGCAGCATAAGCTATCTTACGTCAAATATTTATGGCCATTTAGATGGGTTGCAGGTGAATCTATCTCGTTACAAATCTCAAAAAATAATTTCAAGACTTGAGTGAACTGTATTTGGGTTTCGCCGATTTATTGAAAACATCATAATTATTGCTAGGTCTGTTGATGGCCGTTAGATTCTCGGTACTTCATAGCAGGTACGACCTAGGTGTACAATAATACTTCAGAACTCTTTTTTTTTCCTAAGAATCGTCGTATATCGCATGTGGGTGAAATGATTTGACGGGACTTGTGTTTATTGTCTTGATCATATAAGAGCTGTATCGCTTGCCCTTGCCCACATTTTTTTTGCTCCCAGTTATTAAAGGTAGATGAACAACATTGATTAATCGAACTGGCCTTCTAGATGTTCGTCGATCAGATGCGACTAAGATTCTGCGTCATATTATTTTGGACTCTCGCGCCTCAGTCGGCTTACGTGGTAACTCAGCTACGAGGCCTGTCCTGCAAACATATTAGCTTAAACTCCAGAAATAAGAAGTCATATTTTTTCTCTCAGAACATTTCCTGTCACACATAAATTAATCTGTTTTCATTACCATCTAAATGTGTAATGTGTGCCTTGTCTAAAAATTTCTACTTCTTGCTCAAGGCTACGAGTTAAGCTCTTGCCATAATAGTAACGTTATAACGAGAGAAACCTTGACATCCATATTGTTCCAATAAATGGTCAAGAATTGAATATATTCAATTTCTGGGAATAAACTATCAAAATGATTCCCTTTTGTAACGTGGATAAATACATTAGATGCAATGATAAAACTGCAGACCACAACTGCGCACTGACCCACAAACGTACCGCATACGATTGATCGACGTAGTTTCTGTTTGCGAATGTTATTCAGACAGACCATTCTAAAATGATTGGCTCTTTCGACCTCATTTTCCTTTAAAAATAAGACTAAAACGTACCTGAGTTAATTACTGTGGCTCGATCATATCTTCGATTGTCGTCTTATGTTAGACATATTTTTAATTTTACGTCTTGTCGATGGGCCAATTCAGCGTTGGTGGTCCTAAGAACAGTCGTATCAACAGAATATTGGATTATTCTAATTAATAATGAAAGGCTATTGAAGGCGCTTCCAATAATATACGACACTTAACTTCAACTTCAATGCTGTGTTGTCTGCTACCCATTTCACAGATTGAGTTAGTGACAATTTCAAAGTCAAGTAGCCGTTACGTTTAGATCTTAGTTAACCTGAATTTGATATATTAATTATCCTATATTGTATCGCAAACTAATATAACTACTAAGCCATAGTAATTATGGAAAAAGTTTTCGACTCGAATGCACATTGATAGATAAAGACGTGCACCATATTGGCATAGATGTTATCAACGCGCGTGTTTGTGTGTTATCAGAACTAAACACTTTTGGAGACAATGTGTTTATTTTCGGTATTGTCATAGGTTCGTAGTAGGAACGGTAGATCAAAATCTTAATTAAAATCTTAATGTGTTTTCGCGGTATATACCCTAAATATGCATATCGCATTAGGTCTATTGTCCAAATGAAATGAATAAGGCTGAATTGTTTCCCCTAGGATACCGCCTATAACCTCAAGATGTATTCTCTGTCAGTGATTAAATCAAGACTAGCCTTAACTAACAAGGAGTTTCAAATTGCGCACGAGATCGCTGCTCAACATGAGCTAGATATTGTCAACATGAGATAGATGTTGTCTTCTTATTTTGCAGGTCTAGAAGTGTTCTGTCATCATATAGAGGCGGAGGACGTTATTTATCGAAAACGTATGGAATATATTATGTGGCCAAATAATTTGTTCAATTGTCCTGAGAAATTACTCTGTTCAACAGTCAGAAATCTCAGAATGCTCTATTTGTGGATGCATTCGTGTAGAGTCGTCAGCTCGACAAATAAGTGCATTGAGCCAAATAATAATAACTTAATTGATAGATTATGTATTATAGATCTATCAAGACAGATAAATAGATACGATAGATAAATAAGATAGATAGAGATAGCTAATCCGTGTATTAGTGTTTAACAATACCTATATATATCTATCTATCTATTAGTTATTATATTAGAGTTAAAATCTAAAAAAGAATTAAGTGTAGACTATTGGGCTTTTTTTCCTGACCAAGTGTTTTCTAGTTTTACATTATTATTCTTTATCTACTTCGTTCCGTCAACACCAGCGATGTGCTTTTCAGATAATTGATTCCATGCTATTCCTTCTCAGTTCAGAATATTTACCTTTGATAGACCTTTTTTGGAAACCAGATAAACTTTAGTATTATTACTAATTAGAACATAAAATCCACATTCGCGAAGTAGACCAATATTTTACTAGCAAACTTCATTACGAACTGACAAAAGTTTTAACTGCTCCAAATGATTTTTCCTCTTCAAATTTCCCTCGAACTGTGAACCGAATACAAAGCTATTATCACAAACAGCACATTGGCTTAGCCATAAACAAGATTTTTTTTTCTGAAAAACCTTCTATTTCAATTACAAGTGAATTTATCTCGAAATCCTATGTTAGTGCTGATCAGGCTTACCGATAAAAATTTGGCAAATTTAACGAAATTTACAGACAGAGTAACCCACCTGATGCGCCCGCTTACATATCTATCTGGTTGACCGTGGCTAAACAGTTTCTTTACGAATAGATTATTTTGTAAGTTCAGGCGGACCCCGATTCCGTCCGGCCTGTTTTTATCGCTATCCCAACAGGCGAATTTACTGCCGAATCGTGCTTTATCCAGAACTCAAGAAGCCTTTTATAGAAGCCTAAAAGGAGGTCGTTACCTCCAGAATCGAAATGATGCACATGTTTACGGTATCTTTACGTAATGTACGGCTCTACTCTACCGATAATTTACATGATTTGTTTCAGTTTGTCCGATTCGCAGGCTGAGCTCTCCGTTGTCGTCAATACTGAGCTAGTTGTTTTCGAGTCTGCTTCGCACTACATGGGTAGATTATTTTGAAGCTAGCTGCGCCCGCTTTACAAGTGTTGTTTACATGAATACAGTATAACATTATAATGACTACTATCATAATCAATATTTACTAATAATCCAGATTGATCATTTACGTGCGTTCACTAATAACACAGCCACTACGTACACGTAATCCGTATGTTGACGTAGTCCACCTTCGTCTCACGCCATGTCCGACGCCATGCCGCTAGCCTGATGCTAATAGCTTCTTGCAGGCGCTATAATCCTTCACTAAAAATGCACTCGTGGAACGCTAATAATAATGACAGTATTAATTTGAAAGCGAGCCACATCGATACTAGTTCGTCTGGATATGTTATAAACTCGACTGTGTCATCAATCGAACTAGGTACGGCTGAAAAGACACAAAGTACAAAACATTCATTAATATTTCGCTCTAACCCAGTTTGTATTTTGCTGATAGCTTTTCTTGATAGTTGTCTATTCTAAGCAGGAAATAAGAATTCAAAGTATTGCAAACAACGAGACGAATGATTGTGATGCCAAATCTCTCCTGCCCAAAGTAACTGTTTTAATGGCGAGTCGACTAGAAAGTTCAGGACGACAGGATACTGTGATGCCTAGCAAGGATGCCGTAGTGAATTTACCTAAGCATCAATTATCAGTACCATTAAATAGTACACTCGCAGCTTATTTTGCCGAAAACTACCAACAAATTCAGGCGTTTGCACAAAATGTCTCCTCGACGCTATTAGGTTTGGCTGAGCAAGGGGCATTGATTTGCAAATTTTTAAAGAATAGTAAGTTCTGCGCTGTATCTGCGCACGACCCGGACACCGACCTTCCAGCTAGCATCGGTTATGAGGGCGATAGTTATTCCCCAGACAATCAGTGTCTTGTACATGGTTTTAGACATACCTATTACCAGGACCCATACACAGGAAGCTTTTACTACGTGGGTCCTTTTAACCAAGGTTCATATGGCCAAAATCGAAAACACAACCATATGGGACACTCTTACAAAATTGTGTACAACAGAGATCTGTTCCGCAACGAGCCTTGGCATATTGATCCTTATTACCTAGACTCCTACCACCATCCGCCTGGTAATTATTACCTTCATCCCCGCCAGCCTCAGCCAAATTGCCGGAATAACGATATCCTTTATCACAACGTTTACGAAACGGGAAATCAGCAGGGCACGAACGTTAGTTTCAGGCGGCCTATAACTCAGGTTTCCCAAAGACTGCGAACTGAAAGCCCGATATCTCAGATGGATCGCGGGCGTATTCACCGTATATCAAGAGGAGAACATGGCTATAGTCAGCCATTAAGTGAAGCCGACTATCACCGCGAGCAGCCTGTAGCTGAGAGCGATCGTCACCGTGTTCAGCCTGTAGAAGAGAAGGATCGTGGCCACAGTATGGCTGTAGAAGATAGTCGCGGCCGCACTCGCTTCCTAGAAAAAGATTTCCACCGTAGCCTACCAACACAAAAAGAATATGGTCATAGTCGGTCTTCTATTGTAAGAGAGCACAATCGGAACCAGCTCGTAGGTCAGAGAGAACCGTGCCGAAGCCAGCCCCCCGTTCAGAGGAACCGCGATCCAAGTCAGCCTGCTCATAGTAGGCGCGGCCACAGAAAACATCGCCGGAAAGAATCTTCTGAAGGCAGGGAAGTTTCAAGAAGGCGAGAGCAGAGTCACTACGTCGGGAAAAGACGCAATCAACCGCAGAGTATTGGCGCAACGACCAGCAGTACTACTACTAGTAGTCGTGGTAGACGCACTCGGGCCCGCCGCGTGAGAAGTAGGCGTGTTCATAGCAAACGACGTCACAGGCAACGAAAGCGCGACAGCCGAGGATCTGAACAGTTTGCCAGAAGAGGACCACTCCCTCGGAACCAACGTCGAGAAGACCCTTGTCGTTCAAGAATATGGTGCAAAGAAACGGTCAGTCCTGATTTCAACTTCCCAAAATCATCAATCGCTAGATCAAGTCAACTATACACTATGCATCCTGATCGCGACATATACGAGTCCGAAGCTACTGATGAAGACGCCGTGTACGTGGGTCCTTGCTACCGAGATGACTGCGAGGGTGATATTTACTATAAAGACCCTTGGCGAGGGAAGTTCTATCATCAGGATTCCTTTCCGAACGCCTACGATTCAGAAGGCAGCGGCGGTGATAAAGTTCCCGGTGTCATGTAACTAGAGTTTTAGTCAACTTCTATCCCAAATCATATAAACCGCAAAAAAATATTTCTATCTAGAAGGTTAACCACCCCTTATGGAATTGATCATAGCATATTATGTGTGTGCACCTACCCAAGCTATTGTCGTCGCAAGCTATTGATGGAAGGGTGACGCCCAGGTGGAACAAAAGTGAACCTGTAGAATTTGTCCTAATAAAAATATTGGTAATAGCTTATATATTATTCGCCTTGTCTCTGTAGAAACATCAAAGAAAAACCAAAAAGAAAAAAAACAAGCGATGGTGTATTAGATCGAAGGCTTACCCGTAATCGGTTCCTGTCACCATTAGGCCATCACGTTCTATTGTCTATATTCAAAAGAGTGGTTACGCTACTGTTGCGCTTTTTACGTCTACGATGTCTTAACAGAAAGGACGTGCCATCGGCAGTCATTCTATGAAATGATATAGCATATGCTAATTGCATATTGCTAATGCAGCACTTGCAGATTTTGTTCTCTCTTTGATCAGGCCCAGGCTTTTGGAAACAGCCCAGCAGTACGGGCTGATAGGATCGATAGGTTCTTGCCGCCACACAAATGTTGAGGACCTGAAGCTACGCCAGTGGTTAGAAATGATTCACTTTTTTGAACTAGTCTGCTTTCAATGAGTTTTAATTACATTGCAATTTTATCGGAAAAAGCGTATTGCTCTCCATCGATATTATCTAGTCCAAAAGTTAATTTTTAGTTAGTTACCAGCGTGCTATATGAATATTAGCTGCGCTGATTTGTAGGCTTTACTTATTCAACGTTTCATCTTGCGAAAGCACTGATAATTTTTTCATGAAGCTTCTTTACTCGTTAAATCTAGGTACTTCTGTAACACAACTCCCATATCTCCGTGTAGCTTAGGCCAGAACCAATGGTTAGGTTTGTGTGGTGAAGAAGGCGATCATCGAATTTCAGGTCCCACAATTTATTGGAAACTAAATTCAACTCTAAGTTGAACCTTAGCCTTCGCGCTCATACTGTTTGTGTTAAACGCCCGTCGACAAGACGACAGTTTCATTCTCAATAAATCACTGAGTATGAACGCAAGCTAAGCCACAGTCACACCCAGGGATCTCCTGATATCACTATCCCGTTGCACCGTAGGCCGAACAAATTATAATCGAGGAAGTAGGCATCGTAAAACCAGAATTCAGCGTCTACACAAAATGCGTCACTTTTTTGTATTCAAAATAACACTGACTGTTCGGCCAAGCGCCCCTACCCTGTGTCAAGTATTGTGAAGAAGAGGTAGAAAATAAATGTTTTTTATTTTAGATCCGGTACTTGCATGGATCACCTTGTGTTCCTAGGTTTAGCAGGTAAACAGTGCCCTATCATGGGTTCATAAGAAAGAACAAGAGGTATTACTTTACATTCGCCTGGTAAGACAGAAATAACTTAGTCACCTCTGCATGCTCACACAACAGTTCTGATAATGATTCCTGTTTATTCTGTTGTACCCAAAACTGTTTCATTGCAGCAATGGTCGATGCGTTCGTGTGTCGTACGAGAAGGAGCTGTGCGCGACCAATTGGTCATGTCGTCGTCGGCGTCCTTTTCGATCAAGTCTTTTCTTCTGTCAGCGAAATTGCAGCTACAACTCAGTTTAATGGTGATCTTTGCCTTATCGCTTTCACATGCCACGCCGACGGTACCTCTTGTGAGTATGATTAGACAACCATATGGTCTGCATGCGCGATTTAATGTGGTCCTCGGACTTCACACGGTAGCAGATGTCTGCACGAAGCACAAACTATGATAGAAAGGCACCGGTGTCGTTAAAATTGCGAACAATAGTCGTTAGAAATCATTCCTTGCCGAAGATAGTTTTTTTTTTCTTATTTTAGTTCAATCAGCTGATCGGCGCTCGAGAATTACTTTTCAGAATGGTTTGCATTAAGGGATATGATACCAAATGCGGTGACTTTGTTCGCCGCAGAATAACCGAATTGCCGTCCTTCACGTAGGCCACCAACCTAACTCAAACAAAACGTAGGAAAAGCTACGACTTGATTACAAAGTTGAAGTCGTTTTGTGTACAGACGACTTAGCGACGACTTATGTTTTAAGACAGAGACGGTGAAGAGGCAAAACAGCGGTCATTGATATCCTGCGTCTTGCCAAGTGTCCCCTTGGTTATACTCGTGGCAGCTTAATGAGTAACGTATTTGCTTGCTAATCTTAGTAACATGTTGTGGCTTGGGTTCGAATCCGGGTCATAGACGCACTTTGTTTCATGCTGAGAGTTAGCCGCCTAATGGAATACCTAACAATGACATTAAACGTGAAATAAGAAGTATAGAGATTGCTTCTTGTCTACGTGAACCGGTTCCCGCCCTTGGAGGTTGCAGTTCTCCTTAAACGGCGGAAGTTTCTCCGTGCACGTTACCGAAAGGCGTAGGAAGGCAGTGTTGTTAGGTGCATGGGCAACCTGTGTTCCGGCCCCGAGAACCTCAAGGTACACCCGACTAAATTTGGGAAGAAAAAAACAATAATTGACTCATGTCAAAGCCTACTTTCTCTAACAAAGAGTGGGACTTCACGTAACGGCCTAAGATTGCTTAGAGGACTTTGCCGCTGCTGTCTGAGAACCTACGTTATTGCTTCGAGCCGGCAACCCTTCAAGATCAGTTTTAGGAACTCGGAGAAGAACTTTGAAAATTTCTTTACTTCGGGTGCGATGAGAAACGACGAGTGGAAAAGAACCAAACGGTTAAACAAACACTCGGTATGGGCTTCGCCATAGATTCTACAGGGAGGCGGGTTTCGACGAGCCTGGTGATATATGTAGGTGTTTGAGAAATTGTAACATATATCATGCCGCTCGCGGCTTTCTAGAACTATCTCCAGATATTCGGAAAATCCCCCTGAAACTAATTTTATAAACGCAACAAAACTCGTATACCCTGTATATACGGCGCAAAATATTTTAATAGTTCTGTATACTCGCTTTGATCTTAACCTATTGTGTTGTTGGCCAATAAATCTGAAACGCTTGGTTACTGCCAACAATGCTACTTAAATAAAGTTTGATTTGAGCATTTTCATGTAATTTGTGTCATCTAGCACTAAAAATATGGCATTCGATATTAATTATTCGGTGTACATTTTTATGGACTGTGACACAGAGTCTTGTCCCACTATTACATCATATGCATATTTACTACCTGCAAACAAAGGTGATTAACGAAATTTTTTGCTGATGACGTATTTCACCTCATCCTCGTCCTCAGAACAAAGCGTAACAAATACATTGAATACGGTCGTATTTTTACGGAATCAGCCATCAAATTGCCTAAGTTGGCACTCTTAACTCCCAATCACCAATTTTTCACAAGCTTAGCACCTTGTGATAGCACTTGTTTTAAAAATACGGACTATATTCTCTCACCTGGAAATCAATATGATTTTCGTATTTATTGAGCGGCGCGCATACTTCCTAAGTAGATTAATACCTGTGAGAGATGCGAGACAAAGGGGCATTACCCACGTATGTACTATGTACGCAACTCATCATGTCCAGGCATTTGAGCTGCGTTGATTTCGAGCGATCCGATGAACGTTAACCCCAGTGTTGTTCAAATGCTCCCCTAGGACGCCCCCTACACTGTTTCCTAACTAGTATCTCCTATTGCCTTTACATAACTCCACTCACTCTATTTTTCTGATATTAGATTATATAACCTTCCTATATGATACTATTAAATTAAAAGAAACCTTTTGCCTAAGAGGCTAATTTGTCTTGTAAGTGCAAGGTCTAATTGAAACTTACACAAGCAATAACTTTTCTCCAATTCCTGGTTGACACTATCGCGCAAACATAGGGGAACACAGGTTTCGAGAATCCATAAATCTGCTAATTTTACCACCCCGTAATAGTAGAAATAGATAAATAAAGAGGAAGCGTCACGTTTTCCTTCATCTTGACCGTGCGGGCATCAATTAAAAAAAAAAAACTAGTTTGGTGAGCAAAAGTCTAACGCTATCTACTATGTCTGTCTATTGGATAGGTATGATAATGTTTGGTTTGCTTTTATCTGTTGCTCTAAGCAAAGCTGTTTCGACTATCAGAAGCTGACTGTTTATCTCTAAGTAAAGGTAGCAGCAAGTATTTATAGCTTAACATGAATATGAACGATGAAACAATAACAATTTAGTTATTTCAAGAGCTTGTTCCATCAAGCTACATTAATCGAGAGGCATTTTTCAGTGAACATTCCTGAAACACACTTTTATTCGAGATGACAGAAATGCTTTAGCCTCAAGCTGGTGTAATCAATTCTTTTAGCTATTATGCCACTGAATAGCAGAGTCAATAATACTCTTTTTTTCAAAAAAAATTGGCCATGCGCCAAATTGTTGTCGGGCGGCACACTGACAATATTCAGGACAAAAGACACGCTCTAGATATCTACTTTTTCCTGGCACGTACAGTATGCTAGCAACACGATTTATTAAACCTATTTTTTCTGCTTAACAAATTAACATTGATTTTACTTAAGTTGAAGACTTTTTTTTTAGACGGATTTCATCGCTAGCGATCGCGGAGACGAGCTGCGGTTCTCCCCCAGCCGATGGGCGTACAGGTTTGGCTCAGATTCGCACGAAATGGTGTGCGAATATCGGCCAAGGACTCCGGCACGTCTAAACACTTGGCTGCAACTTAGCAACGTTTACGTCGAAGGCCTGTTAAGTTACACCAAAGTTGACTCGTTATCGGGAGCATCAATAAGGTATGACCTGTAATTATTTCCATCGTACTATCGTGATGATTTATCGTTATGTAAAGGAATAATGGAAAGGAAGCGTTAACACTAACAAATCAGTAAGCGAGACCAAACTCAACGATTATACCTCACGAAATTAGCCAAAGAGTATTGTAAAGCTTAGCAAATGAAGCACAGTAATTTAAATCTTAATTAGCCTCTTTTGTTTTCTTGCTTTTCTAACCCAAAAATCAAGGAAATCAGCCTGATTTTTAATACTTTCATTCCAAATACAACAGAGTCTGGCAAATGTCAAGAGAGCACTCATATACCTGTAAAAATTGTTCATCGTAACCTTCTGTGTTGCATGAGTTTTATTGTATTAGTTTTGGTGGATCTTCTCACTGGATAGTGAAAACAAACAACCTATTCTAACAACTAATGTCGGCAAATGAATGCCAAAATAACGGATCGAATTTATGGTTTATGGGTTACTATCACCGCTAGATCTGGTAATGATTTAGTGAGATGACTGAGTGAACACCGATCCTGTCATTTGTCTATTCGCAGCTCTGATATCTGAGCACCCACTTGAAGCTCGCCTTGCATACAGCAGGATCTGTAAATACTATCCTTATGCATTATTGTAGCCTGTACAAAAATCGACGTAGTTAGTCGTAAGTATCTTAATTTCATGTAATGACGTTGCTTGGCTTTTTTTTTCATTAATACGGCACTATCAGGGGTTGGCTAAATGGCCGTCCAACAGAAAAATCTGCGCTGTTGTCGAGGTCGTGGCGTGTTCATCCCTTTTCAGAGACTGGGTATCCCTGGGCTATGTGGAATAGGGGAGATCCATTGAAAAGACTTTTTACGTGTATAACGCAGTAATCGAATGATTACTATATCGGTTATAACATGCAAGCTCATTGAACCCATGATCAGGTTTCTTTAGCGTATTTTTCTCCTACTTTTCAGATTTATATGTGTTTCGAATAGCACCTTTGTAGTGTATGTAATATAATGTCGTAGATCTGAAATGCCTCCCTGTGATAATACAAGCTAGTATTGAGCAGTGTATTTATTCATATTTCCTGTATATAGTGGAAAATGGGCCTTTTAGTACAGGGGCTGTATGGGCCACTCCTTTTTAGTAAAAGAACGTTGATTTTAAATATTAATATTCCCCAATTTACAGAATTTTCGACAGTTAGAACTTTTCAAAGGTTGTGCTGCGTAGACGGCTGTGTATTTTATTGAATAACAAAGAAGTAAAATAAGACCTCGTATGTTAACTAGTTTTGCCTGTCCCAAATCTGCATTTTCGAACCAGGCAAAGATTATATTTTATGAAAATCATCATATTGAGATATATTGTGTGATCACTTTTAGGTCTATATGGACCAGAGTGCAATGGATTTACATAAGCCAGTGCATTTCGAGATACATGAAACCCAGTGTCGTCGATGTTAATTTTGCAAGGAAATTAAATTAACAAAGTGACCTTGAGGTACAAGCTAGCCTAGCACGAATGCACGAACGAGCGTATACAGTCATCGGCCAATCAAATAAGGATACCTGGAAATTTCGCATATGGCCAGGTGTAATCTAATATAACTCCGCATCCGAACTAAATATCTGCATGCATTGCCGTTTATCATGTTTCGAACGCGCTACCGCCGTCACGCCCGGGCCCTGGTCCCGCACTTTGTCTCATACGATACCCCTAAACTGTGAGATGTTGGTCATTTTTTGTTCGGCCTTGACCCGCCCTTTGGCATAACACCACACGTTTTTGATCGGGTCCAAGTCAGGTGAATTTACAAGGCATGGCCCAATCTTAGCACGATTAGCAATAATCACCTTAAGAACAAACTTTGTCATATGACACACTTACTTTCATATATATCGTAGACACACAATTTCCAACCAGAAGCCGTTCTCATATTGGGGCAGCATTTTCGTCTGAATTATTCTACTGTATTGGCGTTTTTCCATAATCGCATTGAAGAAATGTAGAACTCCTGCATCGTGGAGAGAAATGACATCATTAGTTTGCTCGGATGTTTGACATGCTGGATTACAGAGAACCCCTGAAATCTTTAACCGAAACGTCTGCGGACGTGTTGAGCGTTACTACAAAACATCGAAATGCGATTTACCTGAAACATTCGCATCGTAGTAGAAATACGAAAATCACTACAAAATAATCTGTGGTCACAATAAGATCGTTGGCATTGCATAGTTAAGAGTAGCGATGATTGTTCTAAAACATCTTAAATCTCTTCGTGCACGGGGGAAGACTAAATACGATACTGAATGGACTGCGCGTAACGGCTTGACTGTCCATACTACATACGTGCTGTCGTCAACAACGATTGCGCCATGTATTTCCCTCGACAGCAGTTTACAAATACGTTTCTAGCGATAGTTCCATCACATGTGCTATCATGAGAAAGCGGAAAGAGACAACGTTTATGTGAAAGAGACCACATGGAGACGTTTAGTTCGAGTGCGGAGCAAATGTTTAGATCGCCCGATTTTATTGGCCAGTAACTAAAGCTAAATTAAGTCACCGAGTTTCACATTTGCTATACCACATGTCGTCGTCGTTATTAGCAGCTCGAAAAAAAAAAAAGGAAAAGTACCACTTCATTGGCATACTGTATTGTTCGGACAAAACAATATTGCCGACATACGTACCACAGTGCAGATAATCAACCGGACAAAGATAAAAATGCACTGTGAATTATTATTCATGTAAAAACCATGAGGTGGCCACTGTAGTTATTCAGGCTTGAACGAATTCTTTGCAGGGACTCTCCAATGACTTTCGAAAATGGCGCGCATATTAGCGGAATGATTCTATCGTCTCTATGCAAAATACATTTGTGGATGTAAACAAATTCTAAACTGGCATTAAGTGTCGGCCTCCCTAGCCGTAATCACGGTCCTTTTTAGAAGCATTTTGTCGGTTGTTTTCAACATTAAGCAAATGCTAGCCCATATAGCCCACTCTCACTGCTTAGCCATCGTAGATACCTTAAAACAGACCAACCACACATTTTAACTTTAGAATAGCAGAGCAATAATGGGTCTCGGGGAACGGCAGTTGTTTTTGGCATTTCTAAAGACCCGCAGATTTTCATAGATTTTTAGAATCTGAATTTGGCTAACACATTATCTTGTGTTTAGTGAGGATGCTTCCGTATATGACAGTGGAAAATCGGACGTTTATATATACTACATAAACCTATAAATAATAACTTGCTTACGGAGCTTCCTTCAGTAAGTTAAGCGTTTTCAGATTCTAGTCCGTTCTGACTGTTATAGCAGCACTTGTTTCAATACAAGTCAGCCTCTTAGAGTGTGTAGGATGCGACAAATGTAATCATATATTATTTTGCCAAACACGAACATACAGTGGCCTGATATAAAGGAACGAAACTTTACCTATAAAAAATCACCAAAGGGCAGCTATAGTCATAAATATGATAAAACTGTACTTGAAACTTTTCAACTGTAAAGCCGGTTCCTATAATACTCTATCAATATATGCATATGTTTGGAAAATAATTCACGATCAAATATATTACTATCCTAGAGCTGTTTAGCTTCGTTTGTGGCATAAAGTACGACGCTAGTGATGGATCTATTGCACGATCCACAGAATCCTTTGCAACATTCAATAGATCCGATTAATCATCGCCAGCTTGAAGTCGATAGAGGACACTCTGTCGTGCAACAGTTCAAGGGAAAATTATTCTTTGTACCGGCTTGCAGCTTCTCTTCAAAAGTCCTAACTATGTGGGCTTGCCATGAATGCGCTACAGTATGTTTTGGCTTCATACTAAATAAATATCGTTTCTCTTCCCTATTAAATGATTCACTGTCTAATTGTATCCCTTTCTTGGTGGTTATATGAATCAATGAATATCACAGTCCAGCTCTATGCTAGGCTATTTTAGGGACGATCCAGTTTTTCGAAATTTCTCAATTTATATTTAAGCCTCAAGTCTGAATTTTAACAGAGACAGCTGTCGGCGAGCATATTTGATCGAACGAAGCAAATGAAAAGCTAGAACTTGATTTCAATTCTATCCAAGTTAAGCATTTTAGCTAGTTGACAAATAATTTACTGCATTAATTGAGCTGCAGAAAATTCGAGATTATTATGGGCGACATTACGACCTACAGTCCTACAATAATTCTAACTACTTTTGTTCTAGATTTCAGGTCAGAAATATTACGTCTTCATCGGAGTTCTCCTGCAGGGTTTATTCTTCAAGCTCCTTACGTTACATACAAGAGAAGCAGGCCCAGGTACGTTCATGTTCACTTGCTGTACAAAAAAATGGTTTTTTATGGAACTACCATTCAAACAAGCGAACATCGTTAACACACATCCCCGTGCCGAACCTATTCATCAAATTCAAATAGCTTGACGACAGCTAATATTGTACAAGCGTTATAATCGAGGGCTTTTACAAACAGCCGATAACAGTACATAGGTCATTCAGCTTTGCGAATTTTTTCACGGCTTGGACAACAATGGTTAGAGGCTAGAAATCGATTTCACCGAAAAGCTCACTAAATTATATAAATACCTGATTGATACGAACTGTATACATATTTTAAAGCATGTTAACGTACGCTAACAGTTTAACCTACGTTTTTTCACCTTTTGTCGATCTTGGTGAAGGTGTTTGTCCTCGTTGATCGACCGGAAAGCTGCCACACCGATAAACAGTGTTGGGGTTACGGCCGAAACGTGGTTTGTGATAATGGCGCCAGTCAGCGCTGTATGTGTGCAATCAAGGCGGCACGAACCTCGCGTAAGTCAACTGGATAAGCAAATATGCAATATACTTTATAATAGTTTTCTATTTTAGCTATTTCCGCTGGTGGTTATTCGTCTCTCGGTCCCTAGGTTTCGATCGAAGCGCTTCTATTCGACGTCAGCTTGAAACTGGTGAACATAAATAAAACGTCTGTTGAGCTCGGACCCCATTCATTTATGTTCCATAAATCGAGTTAGCTTTTCCCCCGAAAATTGATTCTAGCCCGCACATATAAACCTGGTCTTTAATGTTTTCCTTTTGTATCTACCAGTCAGGTATAACTTTCATAGGTCTCGTGGCATGTAAATAAGCTAGGCTTTGCTGGTTTCTCTCGGAGCACTTCAACGCAGATTTACTTTGCACTTACTAATGCATTTTAAAAAATACTCTAGAGATGAAAACATACGTTTCATTCGAGTTGTGTGTCAACTTCCTCTTAACAATTTCAAAAACAAGCTGATAATAGTATCTATCGAAACAGTCAAGACCAAATTCATTTATTGTATGTATTATTAAGTATTTTATTTTAATCCGCACTACAATAACAGTCGTCCTGTTTTCAAAAATCCTCTCTTCGCTACAAAATAAACATGACCCGCTAGCGTAAAGACATGCCGATAAAATCCTGTCATATAATCGTCATTGGAGAAGTAGTGTTGTGGCCCACAAAATCAATGCCCATATGATAGTTACCCCATAAATCCCCCATGAGCGTGAATGCTTTTCACTTTCAGCTAAATACGATGACTTTGTTGCTCCTTTATTACGTGAGCACTGTAGTCCTCTAGCTGTAAAAATAGAGAGATTATTTAGCATCGTTCCGTACAAAAACATGTACCGTTGAACGTTGCCGCTATGGTAAATAGTTGAGTAACATAACAAACATACACAATTTTTTACAAATTTTTTTTACAACAATATTTTATAAATTTTTCTAAATGTAGTTTTCCAGGATATCAACCACAGTGCTTTAGAAAAGAAACATATTTGTATGTTTTTATGGAGTGCTTAGTTATATCATTATTAATGCTGAAAACTGCTTCTATAATTTTGATAACTTCAAATATATTTAAGGAGACTCAAACGAATAAGTAAGATCACTGTCGTTTTTAAAACAAGAGCTGATCACTCAGTGAAATACAATACCAAGGAGGAGATGGATTGTCGAAAAGAGCACCGCTTACGGGATTCTTAATATTAATTTGATCGCAACATACCCACTGCACAAAGCCATATATCAGTCTCTGTCCAGACACCTTTTCTATATTCCCTAGTGTGTACATAACGTCGACGTGTAGAGCAAGTGTCTTAACGACGTAGCAATCCGGAATGACACCTGCCATATATGACAATAATGAATGCTGCGTCCACACTTGGTTCTGCCTGCCACTTCAGAGGATAGTCCCATCTGCACGGAACTTATACCCGTTGACAAGTGCAAGTACCCCAAGTGCAGGGGGGATGAGGATGACTGCATCTGCACACGAGATCCGGCTATTGTTCTAAATCCAGCGAGCTACAAACATAAGAATCCTTCCAACTTTACGCCCGACCAGGACGAAGTTGCAATCTTGAACGGCAGTAAAGTTGTAGAACTCAGCTACCTTGTGCGGAGCAGCGAAGAGTAAGTTCAACTAGAAGTACGTGAGAATTCTGAAATGTCTTCCTTATTTAGTTAATTTCAAGTCCGAAATGCGCGGAATTTATGGAGGCACATACTTTTTTACAAGTGACATAACCAAACCAGATCTGGATTTTCCATGCGAAATACAGAAACGTCATGCTTTGCCGGATATATAGCAAAGTATAACATTTTTTAAATTATGGCTGGTTTTCGAGAACCAAAGTGAGGTGAATGGTGTTACTTAATTCCTATAGAAGTTGTAAAGTCAGCACTGAAGTTTGCTAAGATGACCTTGGTGTGATCAGTGCTAAGTAACAACATCGCCTAAGAACCGCTCCCTAGACGAATTTGGGGAGTAAGTGAACGAAACGTAGGTTTTAGCCTTTTATAATGGTGTTGCAGATGCATACACTGTTACCGAACGTCCTCAAACCTGCAATACCTTCAGGCAGGTCTTTTTCTCGTGGGCGCTGTCCTTGCTTTTACCGCAGTTACTCTAATGGCTGTGGTCATCCGCAAAATGTGGCTATATTATCGCGTTCCTCCATACCTGTTGGAAGCTTCTCACGATCTCGAAAGAGAAACCATCGAACGTGAAGCCGAGCAGATGGCCCAGCGCGACAAACCGCCAAGCTATATTGAGGTATGATACTATTGGAAACGATGCAGTTTCAGCTGATGACTACTAATATTCTGTTATATCATATGGGATAGTGCAAATAAAAGTAAAGCAGTTGGACGTTCCGAACAATTTGTCTCAACTCAAGCTCATCTGCCAAGTACGCCTCGGCTGATAACACATTGACAGGTGATGGAAGGAGATCTCCGTATAAGTGGGTACCCGCCGCCCGATTATGAAGAATTCGCTTCCGCAGTGAGGCAGCATCGCGACGTTGAACGCCGCCAACCTCATCGCCGTATCTGCAATACTGGAGAACTCCAACTTAGTAGTGACCGTGTCGGCCGGCGTCACAATAACGTTCCTGTAAGTTTGCCTTATCACAGCATTGAATATAATCTTATTTGTTTGAGTTTCTACGATTTTCCAAGTACATTCGGTACGTAAACAGCGGATTTCGAAATCCAGCTTATATCCCATATTCTATCAGTTTTGGATGCGTAGCAGACATATTATCCCTGACCTGAATTGATTTCTGTCGACCCTAAACAACCTCTAACAATACCTTTGGTAGAGAGAAATGGTGAACAAACCATGTGTAATATTGTTAGATTTCATCATTTTTTGCTGACCCGTTTTATCCCGGTACCTAAATCATTAGTGTTCGTTTTTTTCGACGTATTAATCTTGCGTGCATACTTTGTTGTTGCTTAAATAGAATCCGATGTCATCTGGCCGAAGGTCATTAGTTACACCATGGTGCAGGGCGTTTCAGCTAAGCGGCCCAGCTGGCAGTCAAGGCGCCGTCAGGCTTGGACTTGGTTCTCCTGGCACGGTTTCCCGATTGTCACTGGCGACAGTGTCCTCGATCTCCGGAACTGTTGCCAGTTCCTCCCATTTAGAAGTTCCATCGTACGAAGAGTCCGCACATCGGCTTTATTATTAACTTGTTTACTAATATATATATATATACATTATTGTATAGCATTGTGTACCATTGTTGTGATTATTAGCTTGCCATCTCATCAGCTGACGTACTCAAACCATTGAGTGGCTTGCATGGGGTTGCCGGACATGGCAAAGATAACTGCAGCGATCAGTATCTCCATTCCAATTCGCTAAATCCATTATATTTCACTATACGATTCATAGGTTTCAATCGATCAACCTTTTGCACTTATGAGTAAAGTCATTAAACCTAAACTGTGGTCCCTTGTGGATAACTTGTCCGAAAATTCGAGGCCTTCGAGACGCCTTCAACGCACATAACTAGTATGGTCAACTCTCGAACACAGAAAGAATATTATCTAATCGTCTATCCGTGAGAGGAAAAAGTAGACTCGTTTATTTGTTTGTCCTTTACTCGAGATATAGTCGTATCGTACTTGCGTGGACTGGCATAGAGGTTTCACAGCATTTGAAGTATGAACAGAAAAAAGGCGTCATTATTGGGCCCGAATGGTTGTTAGGTTTTTCTATGGATATGAGACGTGTTTAATATTTAGTATATCTATGGGAGGTATTCATATACTGTAAGTACACAAAAAAAAAGTTACTGTATCAGATAATAATACATCGTCGATAATCGTTTTGGTCGACTTCGACTCAGCACTCGTAGAATATAAAACTTAACGTACATTTTTGGAGTGACTGTTCTTATTTGTTAACCTTAAAGAAGTACCTCTCTCTCACACAGAGTGAAGTTTCCGTTATAATCGAAAAACCTTCGTTTTTGGATTCAGTAGAGCTCATATTGAGCATTTATGGTATGTGTATGTATTTGCAAGTTGATTTTTCTGTTTACGCTAGAGTTATTGATATTGTGGTTATGTATTTTATGTTTCTCCTGATCAATTATATCTCCTGATACGCTAATTGTCTTTCCGTCCTTTCGGCGCACAAATTGCACTTCAGCGCCTTCAGCGACTAATATTGGAAAAGGGCTTTCTTGCATAAAAACTTTAATAGCTAATGATAATGCGTTTTGCTTTTAAAAAGCTAATATCTGAGTACTGAAAAACATTATCAAGGTCACATGTGAACTGCAAATTTACTTATGTGAACCCTTAAAATCTTTCACCCGCATTGATGCATTTGTTGACAGTGGATAAATTTGCGGGCCGGAAAACATTGTAGAATTGTTCCGTAGAAAAAAAATCACACTTATGTAAAAGCGATTATCAGCTTTATAT